GGGCCCGACCCAGCTCCCAGACCAAGAGCGGAGGGCTGGCCTCGGCCCGCGGGCGGGCTCCTGCGGGCGGGCCTGTAGTTTCCCGTAGCTGCACCCACATCCACTCCGCAAGGTAGCTGCTCCGAGCACGTCAGAGCCAGTGTATCCGATGGCTGAGATCCTGGAGCTGGAGGCAACCCGCGCGGCTAAACGAGCTTCATTTCGTCACCCAGAGGATGGCTCTCCACGAGGGGTGATCTTAAGCACGAGGGTCATTGAGCACCATTTGGAGGCATTTCTGGTTGTCGCAATTAGGTAGCAGTATTGCCATCCTACGGCAGAGGCCAGGGATGCTGGCCAGCCTCTCGCAACACACAGGCCTCTCGCAACACACAGGACAGCTCAGGGTGAAGAATTACCTGCCCCCAAATCTAAAACTGCCAAGAGCAGAAAGTCCTGAGCCAGGGACAGCCAGAGTCCTAGTTAATACTCCTTTGCAGCAAGTCTAGTCTGCTGAATTCTACTTAAGTTCCTTGGAAATACAAGGAGTTTGCAAAAAGTTCATGAAAAATGTGTATTATGAGAAAACTGTCTTGTTGGCACCAATATAAACTCATATCTGAACTCCACGTTCCTATAGACTCTCTGAAGTCCCTTCCTATGAACTAGACCTAATAGAAAACCAGGCATCTCCCGCACCCTGTCAAGTGTCTTTTTAGACTCGAGCATTCTGTTCAGCTCTTGTCCTTGGGGTAAGTAACTTCTCTGTATAAATGGAAATCTTAAGGAAGCAGCAAAACTCAGTCTACTGAAGTTCTGGCTTTTTATTAGAAAATACTTCCGTTTGGGTCATCCTCCAGAGGGTCTGGTTCGCGTCCCAGGTAGCTTCTATGCTCGCCTTCTCTGCAGTGGTCCACGACCAAGCCAAAGCATGGAGAGGCTGAGTCCACGCCAAGAAGCCAGACACTGCCCCCAGGGCGTGTTGAGAACGGAAGTTTTATTACGGGTGAGATTTGCTCAAAAAGCAGAACTGGGATTCTGTGGGTTTCTTTTTTTCCTTTTAAATAATTGTCAAGAAACGCTATAAAGACAGGAGAAACTAGTACCCTCTGATAGGGCTTGGTCAGACATCACCTTTTCTTTTCTCCAACCTGCCATAATTCGGGGAGCACAGGCACAAGCCCTTGTGGTTTTCCTCCCTAGGGCTGGAATTTGAACCACAGTCTGGCCATGGCTGTACCCGCTGCACTAACCATCACCAGACAACGAGGCCAGGCTACGGAGGGGCTTCCAGAGAAATGCGCCTCCTCTAGTCTTGTTAAATATAGACCAGGTATGAAATGAAGGATGGAAACTAGTACAGCTCTGATTGGTCAACTTACTACAGCAGCATTTCCATTGGTTTATTAATGATACCGACACCGTTCTGATGGTCGCTACGCTGCGGTCAGCACCTCCGCTCCCTCCCTGCAGTGGCGGTCCACTTTAGGTCACTGAGCCTTCCTGCACAGACTTCCAAAGCAGCCCACAGAGCTGCAGTGCGCGCTCGGTCTCTGGTCGTCAGCTCCAACTGGCTCGAGTGTGTCCTGCACTGACAAACTACAACCTAAGCAAATCCAAGAGGTTGCTTTGGCAGTCGACAAAGTGGTGACAATGTCAGTGGCTCGCCAGAGCCCGTAGAGGAAACTGGGATTCAGTTCTTTCTCTGGTTCAGCTGCCCGCACAGCTCACGGTATTGGTGCCACAGCTCTGCTAGCTCACGGGCTGCTGTCCACACTCACGACGACGCTGCGTCATTCCACGAACACCCACACGCGTGTCCACACTCACGACGATGCTGCGTCATTCCACGAACACCCACACGCGTGTCCACACCCACGACGATGCTGCGTCATTCCACGAACACCCACACGCGTGTCCACACCCACGATGACGCTGCGTCATTCCACAAACACCTACATCCATGTCTCTGCTTACAATGACACTGCGTTATCTCACAAACACCCACACGTATGTCCGCGCTCACGATGATGCTGCGTTATTCCACACCCACATGCGTGTCTGCGCTCATGACGACACTACATCATTCCACAAACACCCACACACATGTCTCTGCTCACAACGATGCTGTGTTATCCCACAAACACCCACACATGTGTCTCTGCTCACAACGATGCTGCGTTATCCCACAAACACCCACACACGTGTCTGCGCTCACGACGATGCTGCGTCATTCCACAAACACCCACACGCGTGTCCGCTCTCACGATGATGCTGCGTTATTCCACAAACATCCACACGCGTGCACGAGAAAGACAGAATCAAAACAGTCTTTGTTTCCACATTCTCGAGAATATTTTTTCTTGTGGAAATGAAATTTCCGCGAGTGCAGGAAAGCACAAGGTTGTCTCCTTATTCTGTCCTAGCAGGAGCCAAAGCCGTAAAGATTTCTGCAGATGTACCGCCCCACGTTCTTGAAGACGGTTTTATGAAGCGAGACCTCCATGCAGCCCTTCTCTGAGGAACTGGCGGTACAGGCCAGCCTGTCCAGACCTGACTCCCACACACCGGAGTCAGCACAGCCCACATTAGCAAAGTGACCTGGTCACTGCCAGCTGGTCTCGGGGCAGGGAACGCTTGTTACACCACTGCGGTTTGGAGGGCCATTGTTACGCAGCGGACACTAGCTGATACAACTCCCACCCTCCCTGCAGTGGCCCTGGGGGTAAGGGCACCCGACTAAAGCTTATAAAAATACTGTTAGTGGAGCTGGGACCAGCAGTTAGCATAATGACTATGTCGCTAGACTTCCGTGTAATCGACAGCAGTTCAAGTCCCTGACCCGGTGGCTTGCACTCACGCTGGGCGCGTGTGCG